TCTATTCCAGCCCGGAGTCACAGGAGACACTTCCCAGGTCCCTGCTCAGTGAGACCCCACTCGTGGCAGCAGGCCAGCAGTGCTGAGGCTGGGCTGACACTGGGGCACAGCCTGGTTCCCCTCCAGCTGGAGGAGGGACTGTGCTGCTCTCGTGGCACCATCCTGGGGCTCAGCACTAAAATTGGCTCCGGCCCTACTGACTCCCTCCTCTGGGCCCTTTGCTGGCTCCCTGTCTGCCTCAGTGCCTCCAGCTGTACCCTGAAACCCACAAGGCCTCCTCTGAGTGAGCTGCAGGGGCAGCAATGCCCATGAGTGGCTTTCACAGCCCTTTCCCCTGGCCGAGATGCTCGTGGGGCCAGGGCCAGTCTGGTGCCAGCAGCTGCGTGTGCTCCATGCCAGGGGAGGACTGGCAAACCAGATGCCACTCCTGGAGAGCATCATGCAGGGGAGGAGCATGGCTGGGTGCAAGCACTGACTTCCAGCTGCAGGTCTTTCAGACACTGGTTTCTTCTCTCTAGTCACCAGTGACAAGACCTGAAGGAATGGACTGAAGTTGTGTCCATGGAGATTTAGGCTGCATATTAGGAAAAGGGTCTTCAGCCAGAAAGTGGTGGGGCACTGGAACAGGCTCCCCAGAGAAGTGGACACACCANCCCTGCTTCAGAGAAGGGATGCAAAACTCTCTGCACCATGGATATACCTTTGGGAACAGAAATCCCAAATGAAAGAAGGAGGCAGGGTGCCCCTTCATAGTGCTACTGCTATTGGTCTTCAAGCACTTCTGTGACTGGTTTGCAACACCAAGCAGGGCCAAGCAAGGCGTAAATGTGTGGCTTTCCACATGCACCACAAGACTGGCAAGAAGATGGGAAACTGAACTCTGTGTAGGAAATATGGGCCAAGCATGTTCCCAGGAAAGGTCTGCCTGCTGGTGACAGCCACAATATGCTTTGTTTCCATGACATTGCACAATAACCAAGAACTGGAAAGTCCAGAGATATGTAATTCAGCATCAAAAAGGGGAAATATGTGGAAATGAGGAAACAGATAAAGCAGCATGGTCACAGTGTCCAGCAATCCTTCCAAGAGTTAAGGCAGCCCTTCAGAGCTCCTGGTATCAAAAGGTAGAGGCAAAACAGCAGGAATAACCACCAGGGCCAGAGGTTATTCAAAACACAGAGGCTCCTTCCAAGAGAAGAAGTCATGTCTAGAGGACAAAAATAGTATCAGACGGATAAGACATAAATTCATGATAAGGCAAACAAAAAAAGTGAGCAAAGAACAGCCTGTAGAAGCAGCCAGGAACCCTTTTGCAAACACTTCAAGGACTCCAGATCTGCCACAACTTCTGTAGGGTTGACAGGAAAGTGTGTCCTCACAGCAGACTGACGTCCCTGGGGTGACACAATTGCTGCAAAATGTGGCTCCAGTGCCAGAGCCCTGCAAGGTTTCTGGTGAAATGGGACGCACTCCTGGCAGCATGCCTGGACCCTGGCACTGCAGCAGGATGCAGCTCCTTGCCTACACCTGCTGAGATCCAGCCTGCCCATCCTCCCTGCTGAGCCAGACCTGCTGGGTGCAGCTGTCTGTGTGGCTTTCAGCTTGCCTGGTGTGACCAGAGACACTGGACTCTCTGGAGAAAGCA